AGTATATGACTGAGCATGTATGTTCATGGTGGGGTTTGGTCTGCTGGCTTCAGACTTTATCTCTACCTTAGTCCATTCAGGTTCGTCTGGGGCAGGTAAAATAATATTGTCACTCTTTACAGGCTTTAGCTGACCATCGATCTGTTGTGAAATATTCTTTTCGGGGGGAATCCACGTCATGAAGCTTTTGTGAGACTCAGCACGTAAGGGGAAAGCAATAGGCGAAATTGACGAGCGTTGTGAGGGAGGATGAAGAATCTGAAGGTCGATTTGTGATTGAACATATTCACTTGTGCGATCAGCTTTAACCTTCTCAGATTCCGATTTGCATTTCTCAACTTCAATTTGCATGACTTCAGCATTTTCCATTACTTGATGCATCAGCTTCCCGCTGTAGCGTTAACACTTCCAGCTTTGTGTCTATTCTTACTGTTTCCAGCTGATTTTGAGCCTTTTCCATTTTCAGTTTGGCCTCTTCGCTAGCATACAAGGCTCTTACCTTAGCGGCTTCCGCTTTAGCTCGGGCGCGAGCCACACTCGAGGATGAAGATGAACTCTTAATGCTCCTAGCATTAGATGCTGATGACTTGTTGCTTGTTGCCATTGTGACCACTTCGGAGACATCCAATGACAGAGTCGTAGTTTGACCATTTACTGTCACAATTCTTCAAAGACATAAAACTGCAAATAAACACAATACATTGTTCTTCATGTAAATACAAACTTAAATTGCTTTCCTTTATTCTTTACAGTGTTTAATATAGTTGTAAATAAATCGCTTTTTAAACAAACTAATCAATGGTCTTTTTAACAATATTCTTCCGAATAAATGATCTTTCACATGAAATAGGTCAAATAGACAAACTTACAGCATTGCCTCTAGGATGTTCCTTGCGGATGGAAGCAGATTACATTTGGAGAAATACACTCTCTGGCCATGCCGTTTCTCTAACGCTAAACCGGAAGTGGCGATGCCGTAAACCGGAAGTGACGCTAAGAACAGCGAACTTAAAGATAACATCACTATTAGCACTCCTAGTGGTGACTTTATGAACTGCAAAGAAATTACAACATTATAAAATGCCTTTAAAGGTGGGGTAGGTAATTTCGGAGAAACCAGCTCGAGTGCGCTAGAATTTGAAAATACACAACCGGAAAAGATCTGCCACTTCCTTACAGAGCCCCTCCTCCAACATAAAAGAACGTGCACATGACCAATGAGGGCACGAGATAAGTTTGTGAAGGCTGACAGGCAGGTAGGCCATCCAATTATTTTAGCCGGGCCGGCTATAATATAATAATGCTTTTTACAGTACTACGGCTTCCACAGATGACATTTTTTTATGGATTTTTGTCAAAGCACTTAAGATATTCATTGCTATCAGGATGTTAAGAGCATTCCATGGAATATAACAAAAAGTGTATCTCGAGCCGGTTTCTCAAGCGTACCTACCCCACCTTTAAGGCAGCACAGGTTCCCTTCAAAATTGGCGCCATAGGCGTCATTTATACTGGGGAAGCTGGGGACATGTCACTTTGTAGGTGTATTTCTGGAAACACAAGTGGTGCAGTTTGGACCTACGACACGTTTAATATCAGTAATAATTGAATAGAGAATAGTAAAGCAGTAGTTGCTCACGCCCTGCAGTAGCCTAGCATAGTTACTGCACTATTTGTCAAAAAAAGTATTGTAAGCATATGTATGTATTGTTTGTGGGGGGCACTTAATGCAGTAGTGCTTTTTCAAATCGGAAAAAAGTATCCCCACCCATTTTTCTAACAAAGTAAAGCCCTTAATGGGCACACCCTCTGGTCCCCCACCTTGAACTGGGGAACCACCACCGTTCCTTCGGTACAGCCCCCAACTTCAACACAAAGTTGATGAGATGTGTCCCTCAACACCCTGAGCCTGCAGCGTTTCTGGACAGGTCTCATCACTCCCCGGGGCTTTACAGCAGTGGAGAAGTTGAACCGCCTCAGTGGCTGGAAATATCCGAGTCTCAGATGCACCACCAATACCTCTCAAATATACACATAATAAAATATATTCTAAGGCAAACTGTATCACCGGTAAAGGTAATTGACTGTAGAGACCATTCCCCAGTCTCAAATATGTTGAAATGATCTCCACCCTAAAAATACATAACACTATCAAGGACACTCTTTAAATCCATCCCGTCCAATCTTTTTATCAATGTATGTACTCTGGGTCTGTGTACTTGCGTGTTCCTCTTTGTTTTCTGTCACTATGGGTTTTATTTATTCCTTAGTTTGTGTGCTTCTACCGCATCTGTGACTCACAGACAAACAGGACAGCAGGTGGTGTGTGATGTAATATGGGGCACATATAAGTCTGCTGTCTGTCTGCTGGATCTACCTGAGGAGCAAACTGGAGACTCTCGCTGGCCAACTGAACCCCACACGGGTTCAGCTTTTAGAAATGTCTAAATATGCATACTGAAACTTTTCACGGGCTTCAAAGAGCGCATCAGTTGTAGCTTTTTCTTCATGGCTTTTCCTCTGAGAGACTGAAGCTGGAAAACATTTTGGGTATATTTTTAAGAATAAATTGATACTTAGACTTACAAATTTATACTAAGAAGTACAGAATAGTCAAATCTCTAAGGCTTCCAGGATTGCTGCGCAGAGCATGTCATCATCCAGGTCCAGGCTGCCTCTGCTCCTGCACGGGATCCTGCTGTGCAGCTCCTTCGCTCCTCTCCCGGTCATCAGCAGCAGGAGACAGAGCCTCCGGAGCGCCGGGCCGCTGGTGCGCTCCTGGGAGAAGAGGGAGGATATGGCTGGAGATGGAGAGTACCTTCTGGGGATAAAGAGACTGAGGAGGCTGTACTGTAACGTGGGCATCGGGTTCCACATCCAGGTCTTACCAAACGGCAAGGTCACAGGAGTGCATAATGAAAATAGATACAGTAAGTCACCTTGCATTTTGCTGTTCAAATCCATGTAAAGCAGGCTACACATGTGTTACTGTACACGGCACACATTCACCTAGTTTTTCTATAGTAAGACTTGAGTTACTTGAATTACTCGAATGAGTATGGATTGTTTAAAGTGTGTGCATACCAGGTGCTCACTGGGCACAATGGGAAAGGGTCTTACTTTTTGGTCAAAATCTCTGATGTTTTATATAAAGGGTTTCATGTTGTGTTTCATTGTAAAGAATGTGTATCATGATGTTACCTCTGTGGATATTCTGTGCTTGACGAGCCTATGCTCCATGAAATCAATTGTACTTTCCTAAATCTCCTCCTGTTATTATTATTATTATTATTTGTATTATTATTATTATAGGTACTACGTTTCCTTGCCAAAATTCTAGTTTTTACAGATTTCGGTTTCAGATTTCTGTTAAATCATCTGACATTCAGTTAAATAACTTAGTAAAACCTTATGAGTTTACATTATAAACTCTGTGTGATATTTGTTTGAATTCAACCGCTGACTGAGTGGATTCTGATTCACTCAGCGAGCCAGATAGTCGATAGATTTGGACAGAAAGACGTGCGTGTCTTGGACTCAGTGTGATACATTTGTTGAGTCCAGCAGAAGTTAAGTACCTCTAAGAACACTCTCTAAGTGGTTTGGCCTTTAGAAGGTAAATGTGTTCAGTTAGAAGTGCAACACATAAGTGAGCCACAGTCCTTTCAAGCCCTGCATTTTAAGCTGATGAATAAGAACATTATCCTGGGTTGTTTAAACTTCCAAAATAGTTTTTTGAGTCTATATAACAATTCTGAAATAATCATAGTGAGCATCATTTTGTTCGGCTTTCTCTTTAAGATGCCCTTTATCATTTCTGTTTCATCCCAGGCCTTCTGGAATTGTCCCCGGTGGAGAGAGGAGTGCTGACTCTTTTTGGAGTGAGGAGCGGCCTCTTCATCGCTATGAGCGACAAAGGGAAGCTCTACGGCTCGGTAAGAACCGGTTCGGACTTTTTTTCTCCATAACCACTGTTTTTAAAGTTATGCAAGTTCTAACTAGTAGCTGGTTACGGCACATCTGAGTACTGTAGCAGTTGTGCTTGGGTGTACCAGATCATTGCAGCACTTTATCTTTCTCTCTTCAATGGTCAATGGGGGTCCCTGCTGGGTCATCGGGAAACTCTTGGCTGAAAAGAAATCCCCCGCAGATGACGCAGTTAACGCGTGGCCGACTCGTAGCGCCCCTGTGGCACATCATGTGGGAATCCGTTGTAATTTATTCAACAGAGATGAAAATGAATAATAGGTTATGAATGATATGGGCCTTCAGTAAGAAATAAGTGCGTGTGACAACAACCCATGTACTGGAGCTCAGTTGAGGGGGGCACGGGGTTGAAATCCCTTTCAAATTTATCTCAAATAAAGGTTAAACTGGTCTAAAAAACTCAAACTTTGTTGGTGAATAGACTAGACAACCTTCTTTAAACTTTATAAAGTCCCTCCTAACTCAACAACTCACGTCGTGATTTTAAATGGAGCCTGGCAGGGGCGGACCGGGACTGAAAAACAGCCCTGGACCAGTGTTAATTTTGGCAGCTATTTTTGATTTAGTCTTTAAACGGAAATGGTTATTAGTTTTAGTCACATTTTAGTCCTTTTTATCCTTCATACATTTAGTCTAGTTTTAGTCGACGAAAACTCAAAACGTTTTAGTCCAGTTGTAGTCGATGAAAAATCTTTACATTTTAGTCAAAATGTTTTCTCTCTTTAAACTAATTCAGTCGTGATTTATATAAGTTATAAATAAAATATATATAATTATGTTATTATATTGTACT